TACAAAGCTTAATGCAAATGGGTGAAGTGTCCCTTAATAACAAGTTGGTAAAATTAAAATAATAGTCTCTGTCAGAATATTAAGTAATTACTGGTTTAATCTGTAGATATAGAGATAGTTTAAGCTCTAATCCTTAGTCATACTTTATGAGTTTAGCGCAGCCTAAGGTGTTGAAAGTGCTTGTTTTATACGACTAACGCTACTGAGTTTACGATCTACTAACTGGTATTTGGCATTTTTGCTTGAAAAATTACGAAAACAATTAATAAAATGTCAAAATAGTTGCCAGTTAACTTTCTGTTAATTGACTCTAGCTGAGACAGAAAGTGGATATTTTTGACAGCACTTGGTTCAATTGGTTCTGAAACCACTGCAAAATAGGGCTGCAACTAACTTATTTGTATTTTCAAATAATCCATTAATTAACAATTAATCATTTGGGCTATAACTTGTCAGTCAAAAATGCCTATTACAAGGTGACACTCAGTTTTCAGTTCACACACTGAATCTTGTCACACAGGCCACAGCCACCAGCTCTTCCACGTGAGTGCCGTGGTGGGGACCCACTTCCAGATGGAGGGCGTGTTAGCAGACATGACGTCACGGAGGGCGTTGCTCGTGGCCCACGGAGCAACGCCCTCCCTCCTGGGGACCATCGGGGTGCTGGTCGTCAGCCTCGTCCTCAACCTGGGCATCATCGGCATTTTCAGCGCGCCGCTCCTGGGGAAACCCTGCCACAACTCCAGCCAGCCGCACACAACAACGTGCAAGTGCAAGGAGCAGTGAGGGCGTATTTTCCACCAACAGCCACAAAATGGCTGATTGACTTTCCAAAGGAAAGGTTTGGGCTGTTTGTCTCAGCAGTGTGTGTTTGAGATGACTATTAACAGTTCACAGTAGTGCTTGTTTAACACCAATAGTTTTATCATTCAGAGATAAAGATACACGTTCAGTGCTGAAGCATTTTCCTAACAGCGTTTCACACCTGAAGTATTTGTTTATGTGTTTACTCAGAAGCTGAGGACCCAGTCGCATTTATTGAAGCCTTTTTCAGTGTTTTATTTATTTTAAGGTTCCTCGATGTGCATGTAAAAAGGCTCTGGGTTGAAGGAAGCACGCGGTTGTAACACAACACATAAGTGCCTTATGATAGACCTTCACTTCATTTACAATGTTTACAGTAGATAACTACAAGGACAAGTTGAAATCTCAAACTGGAAACATCTAATGTCGCAGTTTGCAGGGATGATATTTTGAATGAATGATTCTTCTTTTTGCATGTACTAGGCCAGAATCTCTTCTACTTTATTTAGGCGTTATTGAAAACAGTCTTTGTAACTGGACTACTTAGTTAGTGTGGTTGTCCTAAGTATAAGGCAGTCTTCAGCTTAGTCAACCCTCATTCAACTCTACATAATATAATGCAGATTGAATTGCCAGCTCTTATATATCCACCTATTGATTCCACTCTGCACAGACTGGAATTGATTTGCAGGCCAGTGTGGTTCTTTTTCTGATTGCCTCTCTTATTATGAACCCCACAATCTGCCCTCAGCAGAAAAAAAAGAAAAAAAGAAAAGAAAGAAATGTTATGGCGCAGCGCCAGTGATTAACAGACAGGTACCATTTTTATAACAGTTCGTTTCCATGGCAACGATATAGTGGCCTCATGCCCCCCGAAGGTCTTCAACAATTTTTATGTTCAGAGCAAATGGCACCATTTTCTCTCATTCTTCCATCATGTATCATAAGATCTATTCTGAACATTTATCATGTATAATAGTACAAATTAAATATCAGTGCGTGGGATTCAACTTTATAAGCATTTCCAGTCCTGTCAAATTTCATATCATCGGTGGAATTAAGAGGTATGGAGATGGAAAAAAGTATATTTAGTCATAGTTCGGGGTCGTATTAACATGGGAGTCTTGTGGTGTTTCGAGTATTTTGGTGCGTGTACACTATAACCAACCAGTAACACTCCTTATATACTGTGCTTCTCTTGTCCCATGAGACTGTTGCATACGGTTACAGCTGAAATAATTCTGTCTTATATATTTATAGACTTTTATTATATTTATTGTTTGTTTTGGGGCATAAACAGGAATGGAGATGAGTGTTTTTCCTCACGATGAAAAATTACCCTCTTATTAAGTCATTTGTGACAGTTATTAATCTCAGGTTTTTTTTTTCCAGACAGTGAAAAAAGGGCAGAGATTATATTAACAGCTTCTCTAAAATAGTCAAGAGTTTTCCAAAAGTAACTGTTGGTTGGTTGGTTGGTTGGTTGGTTGGTTGGTTGGTTGATTGATTGATTGATTGATTGATTGATTGATTGATTGATTGATTGATTGGAACCATTTAGATAGTTAATCATTTGCATCACTTCGCATTTGCAACATTTGCTGGTTCCAGCCTCTCAAATGTGTGTATTTTTCTGCTTTTTCTGTTTCATATCAACTGAATCTCTTTAGGTTTTGGCATGCATAACTCTCTTTCTTTTATGTTTAATTTTATAGATAAAAAAATCAATTAATTAAAAAGGAAATTGGCAGATTAATTGATAATAAATTTACAGATGCCAGCAAAATTCATGAAAATGGGTTCAAATTATCTCTTACTTTTTTCACTTAAGAAAATAAAACTTTAAGGGCTTAATAATGGACAAAAATGACTTGATAACTCTCATAGCAGCCATAGCAGTACTATAAATATTGTCTATAGTTCAGAGACTGGCAAAGCAAATATTGTTTAATAGGTTTTAATGGGAGACAGGGTGTCACTCTGTAGCACTAACATACTGTACATACAGATCTGTAACATACAGATTTCAACAATGCTCACTTTACTTGACAAACATGTGGAAGGCTCATCTGTATAAAAAAAGTTCTAAAGTATGCATGTCACAAGTTTACACTTAATTCCACCAGTAACACCAGTAGTTCGTAAACACAATCCACAGGAAACACTCACACAAACGTCTTTTTAGCGTGAGTTTAATAAGAGGGGAAAATGTATGTGATATTATGGGAATGAGGTGTGTTACAGCTCCATGATGGAGGCTGATGTAGAAAAGTCAGATGCAGACTGAATGTGTAGAATCACAGAGCACACACACACACACACACTTTTATATTATAGCAGGGGAGTTGTTTAAGCGGTTTTCAAGGTTAGCGTGCAGAGTATAAAAGTCACTTCTCCCTTAATGCTGCAAATAAAACAGAGCAGTATCTGCCCTCAATGTGGTTTCCACCGACTCTGTTTCTGTTTTATCTCCACCCCTGCCGAGCGTTGTTCGATAGTTTTATTTTCTCTACAGTCATCATCTTACAGCGTTCCTCGCTTTGACCCTGTTGATTCTTGGAATTGTATCATTACTTGCTTCTGATGTGGTTCCTTGCTATCGACCCAAACTAGTTTGGAACTCATTTATTTCTAAGCTGTTGTTTTGTTTTCTTTTTTTAGTCATCTCACTCATTCTCAGCCGTTCGGTGCCTGTACTATTTTCAGCAGTTTGACAGTTCTAAAGCTCAGAGATGCTGAGCGTCGAGGCTTCTGCATCAAATAGATCAATGCTGATATCGCCTTTCTGAATTGCATTTTTTTTTTTTAATATTTTATTTTGACCGAATTATCAATTCCAAGACCAGAAATTCACCAGACCAGATCACTGTTACTTTTGAAGGCTATTTCTCATGTAAACTTTGTTGGTTTACTCTTCAGTAGATAAGCTGATGCAGGTTGTAATTATCAGGAAAACTGGGCACTTTCTTGTTTCTTTTTTTTTTTAAATTCAGTGTATTGAAGGATGTTTGATAACGTGAAATAGAGGGCAAAGACGAGTGTGAGATGAACCATTTGAAACAAATTTTCAATTAAAAACAGGGTTTGAAAGAGTTATTGGTGCCTTTTTTTAAAAAAATGTTGGATACAACCTTTCTTGTGATATAATGTTTGTTTCAACAACAAACTACTTAAAATGTATGAATACTTATTTGTTCTTTTCTGTGTATAATTTGTAATTTGCTACTTTGTTCTACTAGACGTGTGTAATAAATTAAGCCTTTTATAAATGGAATAATTGTCACTGGAATCATTTTCGGTATTGTTAATTAGTATATTAAGAACACACATAGTACGGCTGCAACTAACTATTATTTCCATTATTCAATTTAATATGCTAATCTATTTTCTCACAATCAACTACTTGATTAATTGTTGCATCACTACTGTTATATATGTGCGTATAACATGCTTATCATCATGCCTATATCTGCATAGACATGGCTACTAATGGATTAGTTGATCAGCAGAAAGATAATTGCCTACTATTTTTAGATAATTGATTATCCATTCATATAATTTTTTATGAAAAAATGGCAGAAAATGGCTGTTTTCTACCCCTAAAATAAGGAGATTTCCTGCTTTTGTTTTATATCATATTAAACTGAATATCTTTGGGTTTTGAACTGAAAAAACAAGACATGTAAAGACATCACCTTAGACTTTAATAAACTGGAATAAAAAAATGTATAGACCAATGGATCCATCTAATAAATAATTGGCAGGTGACTTGATAATGAAAATAATCATTAGATATTGCCCTACTATATCTACAACCATGCAAAATATGAAAATGTATTAAATTATCTTTTTTATTTTTATTTTTATTTTATTTTAATGGAAGACAAGATGCTTCGTTTTAACACCAGTCTGAGCAGTGTCTATAAGTGACCAGCAGAGGGCAGAACAGTACAAAAAAGATTGTATCCTTCAGGTTGAGCAGCTAATTGCTTCTATCTGCTATTCACAATGAATTGAGCTGCCGCTGCAGTGTCGCAGCGGTGTGTGAATCCCCAAAGATTTATCTACAGGAAACCCAACTCTTTGGTGACATCAGGTGTGTGCAGAAATGATCAGTCTAATAACAGATTAAGTCAAATTTTCAGCCTTCAAACCAGATTTTCTTTTTTATTGATAACAACTGGTGTAAGATTCTTCAACTTGTTTGAGGCAGCCTTGAAATGTGGATCTGTATGTATGAGTTAAAACATAAAAAATAAGTTACATCACTGCAGAAAATCTTAATTTCATTCTACAAAAAACCTTTTAAAATAAGATGTGAAATAATCTCTTGCTCCTCACTTAAAATGTTAAAAAGCAGGAAGCCTTGTAGATTAAATAACTTCTTCTTCAATTCACTTAATCAGAATGAGTTTTTGGAAAGTGTAAGTTATAACATTTGGATATGAAAGCTACAGGCTGCACACAGTTATACTTCACTAGAACACGCAGTGCAGATTCAATAACAGCGGCCTCCAACTTAAGTTCTTTTCATTGCAATTTCTCTTTTCTCTGTCAGGTTGTATAGATTTGTAATCTTTGGTTCTCCTCCTACTCTGTCATTGTCTTTATTGCCATACAGGATGGATAATAAAGCATACAGAGTGGTTTATTATTAGCCATGGACACAGACCAAAATGAATCGGCACTGCCATTATCATAAGAAATAATTACCATAAGAAATCAATATCCTGCATATATGCATTATATTATACGATGAGGTGGAAGATTAAAAAGGAAAGTTTGCTGCTCCAAACCTCTGATAGGAGTTCCTTTTTAAAAATGGCCTCATTTCTAGCTCTTACTATAGTCATATTCAAAATCTAACCCAGTTGGAGACTCGAGTGCTTATTAAAAAGGTTCATCCTGAGACCACAAATGGAGCCCTTAAGGATAACAGGGACAAAACACTACAGAGTACTAATCCTATCTGGCCAGAATCTGCTTGTAGACACTAGAAGAAACAATAAGCCAGACACAAGTCCTCCAAGTGTTTTCACCCCCCCCCCCCGGTACACCAGAGGAGGTAGAGAGAAAGAAAGAGACAGAGAAAGGGATGATAGCATTACTCACAATCCATTACCACTCCCTGGAGACGCTCTGCATACAGAGTGATGGAGGAAGGGTGGTGGTGGTGAAGGGACGGGGGGGTCGGTAGTGTGAGGTAGAGAGAGGGGTTTGGTTTTGGAGGGCCAGCGGTAAAGCAATATGAAACTTGATTATTCCTTTTCAATAACCGTCTCCTGAGCATCCCGTGGAGACGTCGCAGGTTGCTGATTAGTTCGTCAAAATAATAGAAGGCTCTTGAATAGCCTTGTTAAGATGTCTAACTTTAAGTACTGACGGCAGCCCAAATCATTGTTCGCTCTGAAGCATGCGATAATGATGGATTGACTGATGCAGAGGGATGTTCCTGCGCAGGCTGCACACATTTTTTAATCAAGTTTGTTTATTTTTAAGGGCAGACAATATACAAAGTGCTGGAGTAACAATACACGAAGATATATATATTTTTTCAGACATTAATACAGGGTATGTACATTTAATATGTACACATATAGGCATCACACTGGTTCGTATACTCAGTCTTTTACCCTCTTCATTTTTTTTTCCATGGTGGTGGCCTCACCTCTAGTCTCTGTTTCAGTGCCATCTGTCCCTCTCCTCCTGGAGTTTCACTCACTTGAATCCATCTGTTACCTCTAAAACCATCTCAGCGTGGCACCTCCCCACCATCTTGCCCCCTTACCAAATTTCACTGCAGTGCTTTGATTCTGAAGGGCACTACAGTAGCATGTTAAACATCGCTAATTTGTATGAAAGCCACCCCTGAGTTTCGCAGGCAGGCCAAAGGTCAAAGCGTTGATCTTTGGAAGTATTTTTTGTCCATATTTGACAGCAAAACAGACAGCATTAAATGTAAACACACACTTTCACTACTAATATATGACATATTGTTCTTGGTTTTGAAAAATACTCATATGATACACTGGATTTGACACATCAGAAACAAACAAGCGCTCAAAGGTTTTGATTGTACAACTTTGATATGTTATGTACATTTACTGAATGCCTTTAAATAACCTTCCATATCAAAACTTATTCAAAATCAGTGACAATACAAATGACTATCTGCTGTACCCAAATCTGAAAAAATCACTTTTGACTCAATGTGAAGTGCCCTCTCTTGTAATCATCTGTTTCATTTTCTAATTGCCTTTTGACACAAGTGTCGACTGTAGAGTCTATAAAATGTACCACAGCTCAGCTCGCAAACATTCGCAGGGAACTGAGAGTCATAATCCCTCGACAAGCATTCATCTCATATATACAGTTACTTCAACTTATCCATGCATGTCCCTCCATCAGACTGGTCGCACTTCAGATAAACATTAAACACTTGGGAAAACATTTGACAGTTTTCCAGAGAATGACGGAGCAGAAAAAGGGATCAGGGTCGAGCCGGGATGATGAAAAACTGACTTGGAAAGATCACTGCAGACTGCTGTCAAGCATAAAGGCTGGAAAAGCAGCAACCGGAAGAACAGGAATATATTTTTAAACTTAAACTAAGAGGAACCCGTTTAAGATGATTACCCCTGATGAGTAATGGATTTAAAAGGAACAAGTTTTACTGTACGTCTTAAAATAAAACCTCAACCTCTCCACCCTGTTTGGTTCTGGGTGGTCCCCTTTAGCCCAGGATATCCAAGTAAACAGGCGGGTTCTTGACCAGGGCCAGCAGGCGGTTGTGGATGTCCTTGATGACCATCCTCTGCTGGGGCTCTCTCTGCCAGCAGCCCTGCATCAGCAGGTACACCTCCTTGGGGCAGGTGCGTGGCCTTTCCAGTTCCCGTCCTTGTGTGATGCATTCGATGGCCTGTTGGGTAAAACAGTATATTAACAGGATATATTGTGTATGTGGACAAACAAGAGACATGGTGTCAGTTCACTTTAAGACCTCAGCTTCACTTTTACGAATGGACTTCTTATTCTTTAAAGAGTCGCTCAAATTTGATTTATTGTCTCACTTGCTTTGTATCAAGTAGAGCCTGATCAAAAATAGATTTTAGAGGCCAATATGGATATTTGAGATTAGAAACTTACACCAAAATCCCATGATCATCCATCTGAGAATGCATCTCACTAGCCTTAGTGTAAATTATGAACTTGTCCAAACACGGTGGTTACAGACCGATCAGGATGCTGTGAGGAACTACTGCCAGATACGGCATCAAACTACGCTGGTTTAACGGTGTGTGCTGCTAGCATCAGTTATGTCCGAACTGGAAAGTATTTTTTCACTGAAAGAAGAGCAAAGAATGCTTAAAGTAAAGTAAACTAAAGGCTTTTCTCGATGGAAAAGGTGTTTTTGCTCGTCTTTGTTTCTGGCTCTCTCAGTACTGACAACAATGTCTCTTTACAGCAACTATAACCCTCATGTTCTAAATGTGTTCATTTGTTTTAATGTGCAACTGGATGTTATTCAACACTAAACTATATATAATGATCTTGGAATTGTCTGTGGTTACATGTAGTGTCTTCCTTTCAAGAGTGTATTTGTACTTGTTCCAGATGGACTGGCAGAAGCTGGACGTTTTAACTTTTTATTTATTAACAGTAGCTATCCATTTAATTTCTGCTTGTTTGATAAGTAGTTTTCTGAAGGTGTGTCTACTGACTGAGGTTGGTGGGTGTTGTGTCTGCCTATTTTAGCTGGTAGTTAATTGGTTATTGTGACGATAACTATACTAAAATCAGCATTACAGCAATTTGTAATCCAATTTGTCGGATTACTTTCCTCTTAAACACAAATATGTGGATGTATTTTTTTCTATTAAATCAAAATTATTATGTTCGAATTAACTGTGATACTGCGCAATCTTTGCGAGTACCCCCAGGCAGAAGTACCTCTGGTTGGGATGGAAAGGGATGCTGGTGAATTTTTCATGTAATTTTGATATGATATTCACCTACGTTATAATGTGGCAGCAGGAATTGAAAAGCATTCATGGCCGAATACCTTTACATTCTCACAGTGTGTTCAAATGAATCCAAAGAGACTTTGTGAACCAGTGAATGCTGCACCAAGGACAAACATTTCTGAATAAAGAGATTTTGGCACAACAACCTTAGTATCTACAGATTTATAGATATGTGTCCATTAGCAAGACCTCTGGGATAAATGATAGCAGTTAAAATATGAATAACCTGCAACAGAGACACTAATGGCTACAATGACTGATTGAGTTCACACGCTCTTGCTGCTCAGTGACTAAATCACTGTCGAGGATAAGAGAGAGGATTTCATTGCGCTCTCCATTTGAAGGGTTACTGACTCAATCTGTTTCCCATTGTTAACCTTGGCCTGATTCAAGAGGCAGTGCTTCAAGCCAAAGTAGGCCGTCAGTCAGCCTCGCAGCTCAACAAAAAGACTCACAACGGCCGCCCAAAATGGCCGCTGTCGCCACGGCATGCCAAGTCAGTATTTTGGAGTGATTTATATCCACCACTGTGTGTTTAGGCAACACTGGTCTCTCATTGGCCGAGACAGATTAGGTTAACAAGGTTAAAGCTCATTGGCCCTGAGCAAAAATGAGAGCCGATGAGATTAGAATTGAGTGCCTGGGAAAAGTGATCTACCCTTCTCTTGAAAGGAGAGAGGGTTTCGGCCTGTAATAGCACCACTGTGGTCGCAATGGAGTCCCACTTCTTGGTGCTCGCGCTGAAAAGGCTAGACTGGACTGCCCTTAATTACTATGAATTTATTGATTAGTTTGAGAGTGCAGAGCAGTGAAAAACTTCACCAACAAACGCTCTGAAGTCCCGACAACTACAAGAAAATGTTTTTGTTCTGCAAAAGTTTAAATTATGTGAAAGCGCCAAAACATTTCGGGCTGCCATTTAGAAATGTTTTTGCACCAGTATGGGTTCTTAAAATCTGGTTAATTTAAGTTAATTTAAGATATTTAAATAGATTTTTAAGGGATATATTATATATTTCTATGACAATGTGAAAACAATGTGACAATATGAAAGGGGTCAGTTGTGATGAGCCTACAGAGAATTATAACCTGAATCTGCAAGGTGTCAGTAGTCGTAGGTTTTGGTCGGTTTGTTGGCTTCTCTACTACTGTAGCCGCAAAAACACATATTTTCATATTTTTGGTGAGCTGACCCTTTAAATGGGCTGATGTTTGTGTGGGTTTTTCTTATGGTGATGAACAAAATAGATAACAAAATGCTTCCTTGCAACAAGAAAGAATAGATTATTACCCAAAACAGATAACGTCCAAATTACCATTGAACATCAAAGTTGTCAATTTACTTTCCGGCCCAACCCACCTCACTGTTGGACAGCTGGTACCAGGGCTGTTTGCCGTAGGTGAATATCTCCCAGAGCACCACGCCGAAGCTCCAGATGTCGCTCTCCGTGGTGAACTTCCTGTACATGATGCTCTCCGGGGGCATCCAGCGGATTGGCAGCATCGTACGTCCACCCACCTGAGGAGGAAATCGAGGCGATGAATGTATGCTAACTCTTCATTCAGTATCATTTTATATGCAAGGGAATCTAAATGTATCATTATTGCATGATGGAATTCTCAAAATCTTGTTGATAGAATTAAGCAGAGGTAGCACCTTTTAGTAACAAAGTAAGCAAACAGATTTCTATTTCTGTTCATCCTTGGACTACCGATGACTAACTGGAAGAGCAGCTTGAAATCGGTGTGAGGCAGACAGTCAATACCAGTTTTAACATCTAAAATAGCTTCAATTCAGAGAATTTAAAAATGAAAAATGAACCCACAGCCATCAAAACCAGCTTGTGTAACTTGTGATGTTGCTAAATTTGGGAGTTTTCAGACGAGTTGTCCATGAACATGGCCTCAATGACATGTACATGAAATGAACAATGCACGAAGCCATGCTGATTTTCCTCTAATTCTATTTCTAAAGGAATATTTCATTTGAAAAAAGTAACTACTAATTTGGTGTTTTGATGAGGAAAGCAATCTCCTTATGCTAGATTTTGATTGATAGTTTGATAAAACACTGAGATTGGATCCTCTAATTTTCATTAATACTGAATGATAAAATCAAGGTAGGTAGTCCACCCCCTCAGGTGGAACCATATTTCCACACTGACACATAAGAATGGTGATGGTTTAATAGAGGTTTGAGTGGTTTAAGTAGAAATATCTTGGTCCTCTTATAAGAGTGGTTGAGAAGTTTAAACTACTAAAACTCAAAAGCACAGGGTTTAATGGGAATATAATGTTAAATGCTGATTCTGATACAATAAGTCAGCAGCTCTTCATTCTTGGAAAGCCTTGCAATAATAAAATTAACCAAAGGCAAATTGCACTCAGGGATTGTTTCTTGTAACTTTCTCCATGTAATCTTGACTAATACGTCTTGAGAAAGCAGTTGCAGGGACTGTGATCCAATCAGTTTTCATCCTCCTCTGTGCCAAGAAACATCTCCAAGAGTTTGTCAAATGTTCAAGATATCTGATACCAGCTGATTAACTTTCATTACTAGATTGCTTTTAATTGGCAATTATGAGCCAAACAAGTTGTTCACAGGACTGTGAATTATCCAGAAAAACCAGGGCATTGTTTCTGGAAAGGAAACTGGTGAGTTTTCTGAGCCACTTTTCTGTGCTTTGAGCACCACAAACTAATTTTCATTCATTGGGGTGGCAGCAGAAATCTCCCAGATGGAAATCTCAAAATGTGGCCACATAAAAGCAAAGGTATATGCAAGGCCTGACAACATAAGAGCTGAGTAGAACGAAATCCTTTTTTTGTAATTCGGCTGAAGCGATTCTTTGAGAACATCATAGCCAAGCTTTCATCTCAGTACCCCCCCCCCAAAAAAAACCCCTAAAACAGCAGTCTTGTCTTATTTTTTCTTTTCCAGCCACTTACCCGATAGTAATCTGTGCTGTAGATGTCTCGGGACATGCCAAAGTCTCCAATTTTGACCACCAGGCCCTCCCCCACCAGACAGTTGCGGGTTGCCAGGTCGCGGTGGACAAAGTGCAACGATGCCAGGTAGACCATGCCTGAGGCGATCTGGGCGGCGATGTGCAGCATCTGAGGCAGCGTGAGCTGACCCAGCGGGGGCATCTTCGACTCCTCCAGGATACGAGCGTCAGGGCCGTGAGCTCTACAGGTGACACATGAGGGACATGTGAGTGTTTATGTTTGGTTTAAGGCTGCTTGATTCTACATCTGTTTTTCTTTCTGATTATCTTATTGGTATTTCTGTTTTATTTGGCAGTTGACAAAGAGATATGTGAGAAAATTAGATCCAGTCAGTGGTGGGAGAAGTACTTTACAAGAGATCTGCATTAAAAATCTTACTTATGAATGAATGAGTTAATGAAGATGTTATTTCGATCCAGTTCATAAACCAGTTCATAAACTGTCCATAAATCAATCTGAGGAATTTATGTATCAAATGTTACTTTTATCTTCCTATGCTTTAGAAAGATATTGAGATGCAAAAACATTATCAAAAAGGTTTTCCAAATCTAAATCAGGAACACTTTTTTAAACAATATTTGTAGTAAATCATGATATAAAGGACCAAATAAATCTTAGGGGTCGTCAGATGATCAATAGGAGAGAAAATTTGTTATTATCTTTTTGTATTTATCTCAAATCTTTGCCTTTTGTGAAATAACAGATAATGTGACCCAGTTTAAAGTTTAGAGGGGAAATGTCATTTTTTTTGTTAGAGCTCACAAACCAAAAATCTTGCTCCTTATAGTATAATGTGTTTTTAATGTAAAATCTTAAAAGTAACAGATGTCAAAGTAAAACATTTCCCTCTGAAATGTAGGGAAGTATAAAGTAGCATGAACTCAAAATAATAACTCAAGTAAAGTACCTCAATCTAGCTGGACTTAAGCATTAAATCACAAAAAAAATAAAATTACACTTGATTCTAGAAAACTCCTGTAACAAATTGAGTGAGCCCTTTTTAATGAGGACTCGTATATAGAGTACTTTATGCAATCTCTGAAGTTGAATTGCTTTTTTAAAACTACTTTCAAGGTCAGATGTGTTTGTAGTTTCTTTTTTGCCTTTTGCTACCAGTAGATGAAAGAATATTTTCCTTATTCGTAGAAGAGTATTTGTTGCGGTGGGGTGGGATTATAATCATATCCACTGAATTGGTTTTATTTTCTGCTCTGTAGCTGAACTCCTGACCACTCTGCAGTGTAAAGGGGACTGTATGAACACATATATTTTCATTTGTAAAGAACAGAACATGCTGGCGTCTGCTATTCTTCTCTGTACCTATTGGCCGTTCAGATTATTAAACGCTGGGATTGGGCTCCTAGTATGTTGGTAACTATGGCATCAACCATGGGTGACCTGAAGGGCAATGACCTCAGCATGCAATCTGCAGATTGAACATTTGTGACATATATGAGCTCTTGAGAGCATTACAAGCATGGTCGGTGTTACCATGCCATAATAACAATGACAGTTAATAGAAAACATAAGGCTTGTAATACGCCTAGAATTGATTTGCAATAATGCAATTCAGAGATGCAGAGCACATTGACTGTCAGTTGGTCTTGTGGATCATAAACACCCACTCTCACGTCTAACTCCAGCCTAAATGAGCAAATCACAGATGATGTGTCTCCATCCATCCTAATATCTCTCCTCTCCACTTTGTCCCCTCCTTACAAAGGAAGTTGTCTATACAATCACTATTAGTTTAACAGGCAGGTGGCAGGGTGGGAAAGCAGCTGCATTGTGGGGGCCCTCAGACATTTCACCCATTCTGTCTGCTGGAAATGCGATTTCCATCCATTCGTGAAACATATATCTCAGGCAAAGTCTGTGTGCATGCATGTGTGTTTGTGTGTTTTCATTCCCAATCTGTCTCCTGTGGAGGACACCTGGCAGACAGCATCAACTGCGTCTGCTCTAATAGTTTTGTCAGATGGTTTCCCAGGTGCCAAGTGAGCTCTAATATGTCCACACTGTCTCAGTCCTCAGTGACTCCTTTAGCTCCCTCCAGAGACTTCTAAATTTAAATAGTTTTAGATACCAATTTACATGATTAAAAGGACATATTTTAAAGCTTTTCAGACACCACGTTGCGCAACAATTCAAGTGTTATCATGAACTAATTTTAATAACCACTTCTTGAGATATCACATTAGTTCCGTTTATGGTTCAAGGAAACCTGTCTATTTCTGCTGCAGTGCTGAATCTTTTTATATAGTGTGTCCATCAGTATTCAAATAGAACATGGTCACATTTGAAATTCATTTCAATTAAATTTTTCTATTATTATGAGGACATCTTGTAAATAATATATTGGCCCTGTGCCTTGACATGTTGTAAGTAACATTTATACAGAATATGAACCCTGTCTGGGATGCAACATTTTTTTTTTTTGCTTTAGCTAAGCAAAACCTTCTTATACCATTCACTGTTGCATCCATTTTGTGTGACATTAGTCAGATGTAAGTTATAAGTGGAGGGGAAAAGAGCAGAAATTACAGAGTAAAAACAAATAATAGCTGATATTAAGTTTGAGTCACTTTAGCAAAAGACAATTTGGGGCAATTTATCTTCAAATTTTGACGGGAAAACATAGATGTCAAGTTTACAGAGACATTAAAATTACTGACTATCTCTAGACCCCTAGATAAATAAGCAGCATGCAAATAGGACCTAGGAGACCTTATAGTGCAGAGATGGAGGAAAAGCAGCAACATCAAAAATACCAAAAATAATTGTACAGGTTGTGAAAGTACACTTCCACATGCATGTCTCCTTCCTGCCTTTTGTAGTTAAACACACTGAGACCACACAGTCCACTGAGGTCAGCTAAGTGGGTTTAACCTTTAAGCACACATCAGGTTTGACTGAAACTGTTGCGGCCCACAGTGGCTTTAAAGAACTGGAGTCACTTCTCAGAGATTGTTATTTTCAACTCTTGTTCAAGTATCGGGAACTAAAAACAAGCACACAGGAGAACCACAGTGTCTTGCTGTTGGGCACTGCACATTTTTAACAGTTTGTGGTTAAATGCCTTGCTCAATCTGTCATTAAAGGATGGGGGAGGATGTGAAGTGACTTAAAGATCACTGGAAGGCCAAAAAGGGTGAATTTGGACAATGAGGCAGGAGGCTTTTTTCACAGACATGTCAGGAAAAACACGTGTAAATTAAATTTACACTGTACTGTTGCTGCACTGTATTCTCCTTTTTTATATTGTCTTGTGTTTCTTTTAAATCTTGTCATAATTACTTTACAGCTTATGCACTGCTGCCTTGTGAAAACATAAAACAGTGATCTTAATTATCTTAATATCCTGAAGCCCAGATAAGATATTTAAATTGCTTGTTTTGTCTGACCCAAACTAAGAAGAATATCACAACTGCAAAGCTAGAAACAGTGATTTTTAAAATTAATTTACTGATTCATTTAATGTCGACAACTAATTGATTAATCAATTAATCACATTGTCACAGCTTACTGAGAAAAGAACAGAACCATGTGCAAAAGGTCTCTGTTGTAACTGTTTGTGATGATGTGACAGTGGAGTTTGAATGTTCTACTTGTTTCAGCGAATCCTTTTACTATGTTACAGAGTTGAGGAACACATTTAAATAGTAAGACTGCATAATGAAAGCATAATATTGTGAAAACCTTCAGCATGTAATTCAGTTTCAAACACGCTTCCTGATCATATTAACTACTGGAAGGATCATTATTTTGTTGCTGGAATTAAACTCAGGCCATAATGCACAGGTCTACATACCGAAGGAATCGGTTGAGGTCTCCATGCCTCATGTATTCGAACACCATGGCCAGTGGCTCTCCGTCGGTACAGACGCCGTAGAATCGCACAATGTGCTGGTGCTGGAGCACAGTCAGCAGCTCCGCCTCCCTCTGGAAGTCCTGCCGGGTCGATTCGTTGGCGTCCTTTAGAGTCTGGGACCACACAAGGGGTGTGCATTTACATTGATGGTTATTTGGCTTCATGTAAAAGTGAACATCTTAAATGAACAGCAGACAACAATGAGTGTAATAAAAGGTAGTTAGGTTGTTTGACAGAATTTATTTTTCTAATCATACAATTTGTGTGTATATTCACTGGGGCCAGATTTCCTTGCTACACCCCTGCTTATGATTGATAATGTGTTGCAATAAAAGCCTGATTAATGGGATGATAAATCTGAGCTAGATTCATCGTCTTGTTTTTATTCGCTGTGGTTTGCATTAACCTGTTGTAACATGAGCTGTGTATTAAACCACCTGACTGTCTTCAACAAAGACACTCTGAAACCACAGGATGTTATGTCAGTATATGAAAGATTTAAGTATAAGTGCAGTGTACTCTTGTTTGTTGCAGCATCAAGTAGTTTATTTTAGGACTTAATATTACCTTTTTTTTAGTATTTAGTTTTAGTTTTTGCCTTTATTAGAAAAAGAGGAAGAAGAGATGGGGGATGACATGCAACAGAGGTCTTAGTTACACTTAGATGGACAATGTCTTAACCACTCAGCCACCAAGAAACCACAATTTTACTTGTTTTAATTAAGGCACAGAGTGTTGCAGTTCCGCAACTGGTCACTACCTAAATATATTTTTAAAATTCAGGTACTGCTTTCTCTCTTTTGTGTTTTTGCATTTCAAATCAAATGTAATTGTGATTTTTTTTAAAGCTAATTGTAACTTCCTCATCTTGCTTAAATACAATTTCACACATTTTTTACTAGTACTTTATTATTTAAGCTCTCTCTCCTCCGCTGCTGCTTAGACTTCCCGCTTACAGCTGACGTGGTTTCACTAATGCTACAAATGTATAATAGTGAAAGTGCCTTTGAGACAGCAGAGTGACAATGGAAATTACTTACTTTGATAGCAACCAGCATCTTGTCGCTGTCGGGGCTGAGGTTGGCACACTCTGCCAGGTAGACTTTGCCAAACGCTCCTTCACCCAGCTCCCACTTCAACACAATGTCTTGCCTTTTAATATGCTGGACACCTGATTATAATATACAGAAAAAGGTTTAAAATCAGGGTGAAAACATCTGAAGTCATCTGTCGTCTTGTGTGCACCAAAAGTTAATTATAAAGTACATAATTGTCCCTTATGAAATCCATTTTGTATTTATTGTACACTCAAATATTACGGACACTGACAAAAACTGACAGTGACCAAAAACACCCCACGTAAAAAAGTGCTTGGTGAAAATAATAACACCAATAATCAAGACACTGAATTTTCATCTGATCTCAATAAGCATCGGTGGGTTCAGTAACATACTATCAAACATCAGCCGAGTGGAAACAAGTGGAAACGAGTTCAGCAATAACACTCACACATGTCTTTCTCCTTGATGATGCCGCAGAAGTACTGTGGATTCTCTACAAAGCTGGATAAACCAGAGTCTTCATCTGAGGAAGGCAGGCTGGTTCCAAAGTTCATGAAACGAAGCGACACAGCCAGATCACTCTCAGCGCCCAAAACCGATGAACCTAATGAAACAGGGAGGGATGCAAACAAGCAAAACTGAGAGATATGTAACACCTAATCAGCCTCCAACCCTTTGTGATTGTAGTGGTCATCAAAAGAAGCAATTCAAAACCCATTTTTTCCTTTCATGGAATCGACGTTCTCCGCTACCAACTTTGTTGCACATTTGTTGGTACCATGGTGACAGATGATGACAAGCTCTAATAATCACCATCATCAGCCATGCAGCAATCAGGCCGCAGTGAACCGTTAAAAAAAGTGACTATATAGGAAGTCTGAATGGTTAGCAACCCCTGACTACAGTGCGTATTAAAAGCCAAACAAGTGGGGCCAAAATTGTAAAACCCCACTCAGCAAGGCAAACCACAGAACCCCCAGAGTCCAACATGGCAGAAAATGGAACAACAAAGAGAGAGCACAGAGGCGATGGAGGGAAGGAAAGAGAGAGCAGGGTCCACTTAGGCAATCAGGCCCACTTAGGCACTTTGAGAGTGAGAAGGGTAGATGTGTGTGTATTGGGGGGTGGGGTCCAAGCGGAGCTATATCACATCTAGCTGTTCCTCCATCCATCCATCCATCCATGTATTAGCAAGTCTGGTTTTAGAGGGCTTTCATCATTGTGGTGCTGATGCATGCAGACCCCGACTGCTTGGCTATTTTCAGCCTCTCTTCCCCCTCCTCTGTACCCTTTTTTCCCCCTCTTCTCTGCTTTGGTTTTTTATTTTGGAGGACATCTCTGCACTGCTGCCTTTTGTAAAGGGCAGCTGAGGGCTGGGTTGGCTGGTTTTCCCCTAAATGCCAACATTGCTTTTGGAGCTCCTTCTCGTGCTAGCTGTCCCAACCAGGGGAAGTGAAGCAGCACAATGCGAGCCATGGCGAGACCATAAAAATAGATGGGCTAAAGTGCAGCTTTTACTTCAAGAGACAAACCCTTTCATGTCCACGGTTTTTATAGTAGTAGTAGTAGTGGTAGAAGTAGAAGAAATTAAGTTAAGTATAGCTGCCCCTAACATTTTTTTTTCCACCATTGTTGGACAAGTAATAGTATGGGGACAGAGACAGGAAACAAGTGGAGAGAGGGAAGGGAGTGTGGCATGCAACAAAGGCCACCGCACTAATGATTAGTTGAGTAAATGTCAGAAAATAGTGGAAAAAAAGCCTTACATTTCCAGGAACTCAAGGTGATGTCGTCAAATGGTTCTTTTCCTTATCGATTAATCTGCCAAATATTTTATCAATTGATTGATTCATTGTTTGGTTTATAAAACATGAAAAAACAGTAAAAAAGTCCCAAGTAAAATATTAAAATGTGTTGTTTTGTCCGACCATGAGTTCAGAGCCCCAAAGCATGACATTTATTACAATGTAAGAACCAAGAAGAGCAGAAATTTTCACATTTGACAACCTGTAAACATTTTCGCTCGACTTATCGATCAACTGACTAATCGTTTCAGTACTTTGGCTGGAGTTTGAAGTTGTCTGAATCACTGGAACATCTCTGTGTTAACCTAAACACACTGAATCACTCACAGTGATAACACACATACTGTACTCTCCCATTTGCTTTGAGTGAAGCAGAGAGACACACACACAGCGATTCATCAGCTCCCCTCTGGTGGTCCCTTTATCTGCCCTCTACTTCTTTTCTTTTCCTCTCTCTGTGCGTCACTAAAAAGTCAGCCAACATTTGGATAACTGCATAACAAAAGACACAAGATGTAGTTGGTTTTTTGTAGTACAAAAGTGAATTCTTTACCTATTTAGTCTCTGCTTTCTTTTCTGTTGTGATGATTGAATTGGTCAGTGTGCACTCATCATCGAATAACGCATATTAAATTGATATAGCATTGAATGTCTGGCTCACCCACAGTTAAGTTGTGTGTTTGTGTGGGTATGTTTGTGTGTGCACGTGGACACGTTCAGACACAGGAGCCTCACATGAATCCCATAACACTCCCGAGGTCCTGTGTGGCTCATTTGTGCACTGTGGAACATTGTGGAATACCAGGCATATTTTATGTTCCAGCCTTCAGCCAGCTCCCTCTCTTTCTCCCACCGTCTGGGTTTATTTGCAAAGCTAAGCCGGTCTGGCCGTCCGGGCCACCCCTCTTCTCTCCTTCCCTCTTCATCAGAATATTTAAACATTGCTTTTTAGACATTTAGCTGATGCCTTTATTCAGAGTCACTTGAGTGGGTTGTTCAGGTGAAGGATGCTGAGGCCATGGGATGGGACCCTGTGAGAGGTCTTGGCCTCTGTGTGGGTAGACAATGTATGTATATATGTGTATGCCCTTCTCCTGTGGCCTTGACAAACAGGCCTACCACATGTGGTGGTGTGTTTTGACTGCCAGTGTGCAAACAAGGGCATAGCAGAGCTCGACGCTCTTGGCAAAGAGCGACTCCTGCCCACCCACTTGGACAAACTAGCTGTAGTTGTACCTCCTCGTTTTCACCCTCCAGTCCTACATTTTTTGCTTCTCTTTCTAAACCTCTTCAAATTGTTCCCATTTCAACCTCTTCTCGCCTTTCTCGCCTACTTGTGTTAAATACTCTCAGCCTCTCTCTCGTTCCATCTATTTCTCTGCCTCCCTTCCTCTTTCTCTCTCTAGGTGTGGACTGCACAGAAGAATGCAGTTAAATTAGTGCTTTATCTCTCCTGCCAGCCAGCTGCATCTGCACTCACAGCCATGCCAAGCATTTGAGACACAATTGACCTTAAAAGGAAACAATAGCGGCCTATCAATTCTGCTCTGCCAGTCAAGGAATGGCTCACTTCTGCATGGGCAGGGTCCAGCTTGCGCACACAACACAAGGAAGTGTTTGGAAACTGAACCTTAAAACTACAGGGAAATGAGAGAGTTAAGTTTTCTTGTTATATTATAGGTGTATACTGTTTGTACAGGGCCGTAGCCAGGATTTTGGAAATACAAGGGTCATGAGTGTGCTGTTTTAGAACTACATCAACTACATACAGTGTATCCACACTATAAAGAATACAATTCAGGTGAGGAAATACTGAATTCTTTACTTCTTTATTTGTTGGGCTTAAGTTGGTTAAATGTAAATATAAGATACTGGAATTAGCCAATAAAATGCGCACCATGTGTTTGTTCCACATGGTCTATAAAACATACACATGACCGTAGTGTCCTCAGTGTCTCAAAAAATTTAGTTTGATCGAATCCGAACTAAAAAGACATTAATATGAATTTATTTGAAGGCAACCCATTTCACCATTTGAGGGACAAGCTAATGTTACTGTAAGGCAGTTGCTTTTTTAAAAGGCGGCAAACAGCCTAACCATTATACAGACTTTTTTCATTTATGATGTTGAATCCAAAATTCTTCCGTATCAGATGGTTTGGTGTCATTGTTTCCTTTATTTTCCATTAACGAAGCGAAAACAATAGCTTAGTTTATTGTTTTGCTGAATTACTCATAGATTATTGGTTGCTGCTTATTAAATGTGAGGATTTGCTGTTCTTCTTTGTCCTACGTGATAGTGAACTGAATATCTTTGTGTTTTGAACTGTTGGTTAGACAAAACATACAATCTGAAGATGCCACCCTGAGCTGTAGGAAATTAGAATATTGTGACATTTTTCACTACTAGGAATTTTATAGACCAATTAATCAAGAATAATAATAATAATAATAATCAAGATAGGCAGATTCATCTATAATGAAAATAA